ACTGTAAACCCCCATGCAAGGACCTTAAACACCTCTTAAGGTGTTAGTTTGCCCCTAAACACCTTCAATGAACTTCTATGGGAGTGTAGAACATCATAAGCCTTCATGTGATGCTCCAAAACTTCATCAAATGGGATAAGCTTGAGTTTACGACCCAAGCACATGCTTGGACCATAAACACCCATTCATGAGGAGTAAACTCATCTTCTTAGACCTTAAACTCATTTCTATGTGTTAAGATGCCACTTAAACACACCATGAGCCTTAGAAATGAGTCTAGAAGCAACCACAATCAAGTTAAGGACCTTATTTCATGCCAAAACTACCCCACGGATGTTTATGGCCATAAACCTCCCAAGAACATCTTCTTAGGCCGTAAACTCCATTATATGGTCCATATGTGAGTTTAGTCCATTCCGATACCCTAGTTTTGATCCTAGCTAATCTTCCCAAGTAAAGTAAGGCCATTTAGCATCATGGAACACCCCACCCATGAGTTTACGGCTGTAAACTCATGGGGGATGGTCATTAGAACCGTAAGCCCTCTTGTGAGTTTACTCTTGAGGGGTAAACTCCATATCCGAGCCATATATGTCCTTAAATGCCACCCGGGTCCTTCCAAACACTTGCAATGGGGTGTTTCCGCGACTAAAAGTGTTTGTCCCTAACAATTAAACAATCTAAGTCCTAATTAGATACAAATGTGTATCATTTCATATTACATAGGAACCTCACGCGTTATCAAGCCCCGAATCGATACTTAGCATCCAATCCGACACGCTTCTCGACCGGTGAGTTCATACCCCTACTCTTTTTCAACTGTTTTTCACTGTTTTCAGGGGGGAATACATGCAAAAGTACAAGGAAATCTTGTACTCCAACTTATTGTTTTCAGTTCAATTGATTTCATTATGTATGTTATAATATCAAAAATTGTGTTTATCAAATAGTTCGAATTACGAAGTTAGCTTTCAGACTAATCATAGATTTCTTTATAGAGTGTTACAAATCTAAATTATATTTCACATTCTATGAATAATTCATACTAATCATCAATTAGAACTATTACGAATACGAATGCGAATACGAATACGAATACGAATGGTAATAGGAGTAGGAGTAGATATACGAATACGACTACGAATACGAATACGAATACGAATGCAAATACGAATACGAATACGAATGGTAATAGGGGTAGGAGTAGATATACGAATACGACTGCGAATATGAATGGTAATAGGAGTAGGAGTAGAGATACGAATACGACTGCGAATACGAATACGAATACGAATACGAATGCGAATACGAATACGAATGGTAATAGGAGTAGGAGTAGATATACGAATACGACTGCGAATACGAATACGAATATGAATGCGAATGCGAATACGAATACGAATACGAATGGTAATAGGAGTAGGAGTAGATATACGAATACGACTATGAATACGAATGGTAATAGGAGTAGGAGTAGAGATACGAATACGAGTGCGAATACAAATACGAATACGAATGCGAATACGAATACGAATACAAATGGTAATAGGAGTAGGAGTAGATATACGAATACGACTGCGAATACGAATACGAATAAGAATGTGAATATGAATACGAATACGAATGGTAATAGGAGTAGGAGTAGAGATACGAATACGAATGCGAATACGAATACGAATACGAATTGGATTAGGAATAGGACTCTGAATATGAATACGAATACGAATGCGAATGCGAATACGAATAGGACCACAAATAAAATACGAATACAATGACATTTATTTAGGTAGACTCCAGTGAAACACCATTAGGATATCAGAATATCTAGTTAATACAATAAGTACGAATGATAATCAATCATTACGACAAAATTCAATATCTAAACTTACTTTTAGGAAAATATAGTATTTTCCTGGGGAAACATTGAACATAACCACGTTTTACAAAATACATCTTTTACATTGATAACCAACATTCAGGAAAGTATGGAACTTTTCTGAGATCATAGTGAAACATAACCAGAACCGTGTAAGCAACAATCAATCAAACATTACTTTAAGAAAATATGGGATTTTCTTGGATAACAAACTTTTCGAAGAACCAAAGAAAACTCGTACATTTTCACAAAACAAACTGAAGAGGCCTTTAGATCAATCGATATATCAAACAAAGACAATAAATAATAACAAGAGAAATTCACGAAGAAAAACTTTCACTAAGAAAGATAATTTCACAAACAGATTATCGTGTGCACAAAGCGACAATTAGGGTTTGTGAAAAGTTGCTATTCACAAACCTATACAAAACAATATATACTGCTGTTCTAGACGATCCCTACAATTCAGGGATACACCAGCTAATAAAACAAGATAACTAAGGAAACAGGATAAATACAAGATTAGTTACAACGTGCTGAATAGACAACTATTACAAACTAAACTGCCGACGTGCTGGTGCTGACGCTGAGACATATGCTGATGCTGAGTTTGTTTCAAACATTATCATATTCCAAGGCTTAACCTTACAATCTCCCCCAATATGATGATGTTCAAAACAAACTAAATTAAGACACCCTTGGAAAGGAATTCTTCATACTCAGCTTCAGCTTCAACTTTAACGGGCTAGTAAGGACTGTCCAGCAACTCCTGTCTTCTGTTCAACAACTCCATGGCGATAAGAATGTGAAACTCTCCGGATAAATCTTGATGACTCATGCACATTTGCCTTAAGCCAACAAGGTGAGTGGTTGGAGCTTTTGGGATCTCAGTAGTGCGCTGAAAGCACATCCTCCTGTTTTTGTCAAGGTAGTACATTCCGTGTTCAGGAGCTAAGATGAATTGATGCTGAACCGGATCAACACCAAGAGGAAGAGAATTATTAATCACACCAGTACCAAAGTCTAGAACCAATACATCTTCACCATCAACTTGAAACTTGGTCTTTCGAGATCTAGAAACTGACGACCTTTGGCCTGGATGCTGAGGTCGTTCTTTAGGAACAAGATCCAGACGCTGAACCTTTTTGATCAGCAGATGAAGAGCACAAGTCAGTTCGGAAGAATGAGCTGAGGTTTGCTTGGATGCTAGATAGAGCAGTTCCATCCATTCCGAATACCCATATCTGATCAGCTCATCCCTTTTTACAACTTCAGTATAAGAGTGCTGAGAACCTTGACGAGTGATCACCAACGTAAGGATTTTCTCGCTTCGAGGTTTAGAAGCGTTGACCTTGATGATCTTGTCTCCACACATTCGACGATCAAAAACATCTTCAAATCTCTTTCGATCAATCTGGTCAAGAACACTGTCAGCCTTAGGTTTACTAGAGCTAGTAGGAGGTTGAGAAGACTGAGCCTTGGACTGAAACTCCAGGAACTTCTGCATCTGAGCTTCAAACGATCCCTTGGCCTGAAGTTTGTGCTGAATAAGAGATTCATCAGCTTGAGCAATGTTCGTTAGAAGCTGAGCTTGATTAGCTTCATCAAGAATTTGCTTGACTTGGTCAGGGGACATGTTCCATTCAGAGGCAAGATTTGAAATACTAACAATGGACTTGAGTTTCTTCACAGACGAAGAATTATCAGTTTGAGAATGATCCAAGTCAATATCTGCTGCCTTCCACTTTCGAGACAGCGGATGAGATTCTTCACTAGCAACGTCTGAATCCTCTCCTTGGACCGGAATGATAGGATCAGCAACAGGGTTGGTTAAAATAGGACGCGATTCTTCAAGGTCATCTGAGCTTTCTTGCTGAACTAGAATGAGAGGATCAATAAAGTTCATGTCAAGAATTTGACATTCATCATCAGCTTCATCATGCTCTTCATCATGCTCACTGTCTTCCACATACTTTTCAGTAGGTGCTGGACTATTAGGCCCTGCAAAATCAGAGTCACGAATGACAGGTTCTGTGTTTGGTTCACCATCAGCATGAGTGCTTGGTTCATCATCAGCATGATCATTTGGTTCACCATTAGCATGATCATCAGTGTCAGCATCATCATCAGTATCTCCCCCTTTTTGAGCATCATCGGATTTGGGACTAGAGGGAGGAGTAAGTAAGAGTACCTCCTTGATTTGTTGAACATCAGCCTCAATTCGAAGCAGACGCTAACTGATGTCCCGAGTTAGTGACATCAGTTCTGAAAATGCTGAAGCCGGAAGTTGAACCATTGAGGCACCTGTGGCAACTGAAGAGCTAGGCGGCATCCATGGAGAGAAGTGATGAGCTGCTGGTGACGGATGTTCCCCCTAAGAGTGATGCTCCCCTTGTGAGGGATGCTCCCCCTGAGATGGATGCTCCCCCTGAGGCATGAAATCCTGTGGTGCTGAGGAAACTTTGCCAGTGTCTGAGATGACGTGGTGAGAAAGTTGAGGGGAGAAATGTTCACCGTCATGATGGTTCACCTCTTGATCAGCATGATCCATATGATTACCATCAGTACCTCCTTCATCAGTGTCAACGGTGAGAGAGGGCACAGTGTATGGATTCGCAATCCATTCTCGCATCCTATCCGAGATACCAATGTCAGTATCCAAAGGATCATCCTGATACATACGAACTGACATTCGAGGGCATTGAATTGGATTCCCAAAGTGAGAAAAGTATTCCGGAGCGAAGAATTTGTCAAACACCAAGGCAATCCAGCGTGGAAAGGGAACATGATCAGCACGCACATTTGCACGTAGAAGCTGAATAAGCTGATCAAAGAAAAGAGCCCCATAATCCAGTCTTTTGTTGAGAAGAAGGGAGCAGACAACTTGTTGCTCATAATTGCTCAGTTGGTCACCACTGCGAGACTTGTGACCCACACACTTGCATAAAGCACCAGTGAAGAACTTCCAGCCTGGGGTCATGCACTGACGCAGAATAAGAGCTGATCGAGTGCCAGCTTTTGAATGATCATAGCCCAATTGATCAAACATGCGTTTACATCTTTCAATAGTAGGAGGTTCAGAAAAGGGTTCGAAAATTGGTAACCTTAAAGCGGCACTGAGAAGTTATGCGGTGATGAAGACAGAGTGTCTACCATGGCCAATGGTTCCGGTGATGGCATTGTTTTCTTCGTTGACTGTTGCAGTGTAGTAGAATTCACATACTTGTTCAGGGAAGAACTCAGATGGTACATCACTGATGGCATATCGAAGGCGGCAAGAAGCCAAGAAATTTACGAAATCATCGAGTCCAAGACCTCGATGCACTTCTGGAATGTCAGGGTTGAAGACGACATTGGTGGCCTTGATGTGAATGGGAAGAGGAGGAGAGTTTGGGGCAGGAATGACCCTTCGAGAGGTTGAGGAGTATGTGAACAGAGATGCCGCCATTTCAGAGTATTTTAGAGTTCTAGGGTGTTGAGAGAGGTTCAAGAATTTTGGGAGGAAAAGATAAACCGAAGAGGAGAGAGGTTTAAATATGGAATGAAAAGGGTTTTTTTTTTTTAAAAAAAGGTAATGATTATCTTGATTAAACAGATGATGATTATCTTCATTAATAAGAACGGCGCATCGTAGCAACCTGTCAGAATATAAAGTAGCCGTTGGAGAAAAGAGCCGTTGACTGAAGGTGAAGTGTTAATCAGTGTTTGCGGAAGCACTGAGCTTAGTGTCACAAATGTTACATGCTGAAAATGTTTCTCCGTCAATTCGAATTACAGCTTGCTTATTCAGGGTTAGCAAGGTGATTGGTGCGTGTGATAGATACTAGTTACATTATCTAACCATCGGCACAGAGTGTTGTGACTTCATCAGTGAGTGGTTTATCTTACTGAATCATTAGACACTGAATAATAGGAGGGTAAAGAATGGATTGTTGCGTGTGATAAACCTTGGTGTTTTGGTCTAACCATCGGCAAAGATTTTTAGACTCTCATCAGCGTGTGTTTTGGCACACTGAATCACAGAGTTAGTTTTAGATTGGTGAGAAGAGGTAGTTGCGTGTGATAGATCTTGGTGTTTTGATCTAACCATCGGCAAAGAGTTTCAAGTCGTTATCAGTGTATGGTTTAATACAGTGAATCATTCAACTTTTATTTAGAAGATTTGAAGAAGAGATAAGGATAAGAAATCAAACCAAAGTGCTCAGTAGCAAATATCATCAGTATGTTATCATCAGCACAATGTACATCAACTTATAAGACAAAATCAAACATTAGCACAATTAAACATCAAAATCAATTACAAGGAAATCATTCCCAACTCTCCAATAATGTGAGCAGTTGATTGAGAATCCAGTGCCTTTGTGAAGATATCAGCAAGTTGCTCCGAAGTCTTGACATGTTCAAGAACAACTTTTCCTTTTTCAACATTATCTCTGATGAAGTAATGTCTGATCTCGATATGCTTTGTCTTTGAGTGCTGAACAGGATTTTGTGTGATCTAAATGGCACTAGTGTTGTCACAATAGATGGGAGTCTTTGAGAACTTGAACCCATAGTCGAGAAGTTGATTTTGAATCCATAAGAGCTGAGCACAACATCTCCCAGCGGCAACATACTCAGCTTCTGCAGTTGAGATGGCAACTGATGTTTGCTTCTTGCTAGACTAGCTGATGAAACGGTTGCCAAGGAAGTGACATCCACCAGATGTACTCTTTTTGTCTAAATTGCATCCTGCATAATCTGAGTCAGTGTATCCATAAAGTTCAAATGCTGAGTCGCGAGGATACCACAGTGCAAGGTTTTGAGTTCCCTTTAAGTATCGAAAAATATGTTTGACAGCCATGAGGTGAGATTCTTTGGGATTGGCTTGGAATCGACCACAGAGAATGGTTTCAAACATGATATCAGGACGACTTGCTGTGAGATACAAGAGGGATCCAATCATTCCTCGATACAGAGAGTGATTGACATCAGTTCTAGTTGGATCAGCGTATAGTTTATCAGTCTTAGATATCGGGGTAGATGCTGGTTTGCAGTCACTGAGAGAATACTTAACAAGCAGGTCAGAGATATGTTTACTTTGGCAAATGGAAATACCTGTCTTTTGTTGCTGAACCTCAAGACCTAAGAAAAAGGTCATCTTTCCCATCATGCTCATTTCGAACCTTTTAGACATGATTTCAGCAAATTCATTGCTCAGTGTCTGATTTGGAGAGCCAAAAATAATGTCATCGACATAAATTTGAACAAGAACCATATCTGAGCCTTTGCTTTTGACGAAGAGAGTGTTGTTGATTGCTCCTCGTCTGTATCCATTTTCAAGCAGATACGATGTCAGCGTCTCATACCAAGCCCTAGGGGCTTGCTTCAGTCCATAAACAGCTTTGTCTAACCGGTACACGTAATCAGGATGATCTTTGTCTACAAAGCCCGGGGGCTGACTTAGGAAAACTTCTTCTTCTAACACACCATGAAGGAATGCTGTTTTCACATCCATCTGATAGACAATGAAGTTCATGTAGGATGCGTATGCGAGAAACAGTCTGATAGCTTCAATGCGAGCAACTGGGGCAAAAGTTTCCCCATAGTCGATGGATTCAATTTGAGTAAACCCTTGAGCCACAAGCCTTGCCTTGTTTCGAGTAATGATTCCATCTTTATCAACCTTGTTACGATAGACCCAGCGAGTTCCAGTGATAGTCTTTCCAGATGGCCTTGGGACAAGAGTCCAAACTTTGTGCCTTTCAAACTCATTCAGTTCTTCTTGCATGGCCTTGATCCAATTAGCATCTTGAAGAGCTGTGTGTACCTTGTCAGGTAAGATCATTGAAACAAAGTTAACATACATGCAAAAGTTATTAAGTACACTAGATCTAGTTCGGACACCATCATGAATATTCCCTATAATTCGATCAACAGGATGATCCCGATGTACAATGACTGATGCTAATTCCGGATGAATAGATACTGACACATTATCAGTTTCAGGAGAATCTTCAGCTTCAAGAGTTTCATCAGCACCTAATGAATCATCTGTGGATGTGGCTGCAATATCTTGATTCAAGGAACATGGAACTGGAATGATAGGATCAGAGGAATCAATCTTATATTCAACAGAAGGAGCTTCATCGAATGGACAAGAGAGAAGCTCTTGAAAGATAGAAGGAGAATGAGTGACTTTCTCATCAGTGTATGATTCCTCATCAAACTTCACATGAATGGATTCTTCAATACATTGCCTGTTCACATGAAAAACACGAAAAGCCTTTGAAATAGATGAGTATCCAACAAAAATGCCTTTATCAGCTTTAGGTTCAAACTTGGATCTTGGGTCACGCTGATTTAGAATATAACAAATGCATCCGAACACATGAAAAAAGGATACATCTGGTTTTCGATCTTTCAGCATTTCATATGGAGTCTTCTTGTGAGTCCTGTGAATTAGAGATCGATTCTGAGTAAAACATGCTGTATTGACAGCTTCAGCCCAAAAGGACATGGGAAGACTAGCATGTATCATCAAGGTTCTTCCTGCCTCAATCAGTGTTCTATTTCTTCGTTCAGCAACACCATTTTGCTGAGGAGTACGAGGAGCTGAGAAGTTTTGTCCAATTCCTTTATGATCACAAAATTCTTCAAGAGTTGAGTTTCGGAACTCAGTACCATGATCACTTCTCAGTTGCTTGACTTTAAGACATGTCAGTGTCTCATTTTTACGAATCAGTGAGATAATTTCCTGTGCAGCATGCCTTTTCTTCTTCAAGAAAACTACCCAAGTAAACCGAGTGTACTCATCAACGACCACTAGAGTATACTTATTTCCACCTAGAGAACGAGCAGGAATAGGTCCAAACAGATCCATGTGGAGTAGATGAAGAGGAACTGATATACTGGAACATGACTTGGGTTTGAAAGAGGACTTGGTTTGTTTTCCTTGTTCACACGCTGAACACATCTTGTCTTTCACAACGCTGAATTTGGGGAGCCCTCTAACTAGATCTTGATTGGAAATCTTAGATAGATTCTTGAAGTTCAGATGAGAAAACCTTTTGTGCCAAATCCAGTTGAGATTCGTCTGAGACTTTGTAAAGAAACATTGCATCAGTGCCTTGTCACTTGAGAACATGTTAAGAACATATATGTCATCTTTTCTACTTTCTGAGAGTACGATGTTCTTGTCAGTGTTTACAACTCTTCTTTCCCTTTTTGTAAAGTGAACTTCATAGTCAACATCACACAATTGACTGATAGAAATAAGATTGTGTTTGAGACCCTTAACATATGAAACGTTTTGAAAAACCACGTTGTTGCATTTGATATTTCCATATCCCTTAGTGAGCCCCTTTCCATTGTCTCCATAGGTAACTGCAGGACCAGTTTTCTTAACATAATCTTCCAGGAGAGACTTTGATCCTGTCATATGCCTTGAGCAACCACTGTCTAAGTACCAAAGATGCTCCTGACCCTGCAGTGCTGAGAAACTAGTTAGAACACACTGACCCATTCGAAGATGGGTCATTCACAAAGTTATTTGAAAATAAATTGTAACACTCCTTAGGAAGACAGTTTAAAGAGTTTGACTTAAGAGTCCACTTTTCATTCCTAACTTTAATATTTTCAGCTCTTGAGGATGATTTATCAAAAGAACATTCACTGATCTTGTGAGAGGAATCACCACATCTGTAACAAATTCTAGTTCCAAAGTTCTTCTTGGTGTGCAAATTTTTTGATTTAACACATTTTGATATGAAAGATTCACCAATAGAGCTTTCAGTCCTTTTGTTAATCACTGAGGCACGACTGAGATCAGTGCCAGAAAGAATTTGATCAGTGTTAGGAGATGAACTGTCAGTATCTGATTTTGACTTATTCTCAGATGGATTGCAATCAGAGAAGTGCTTGAGTTGTTCATGAACAGCATGAAACACTCCATTAGATATGGGAAAAGCAATAATATTCTCAGTTAGAGGAGTTGGTCTAACAAGATGTGCAGGATAAGATGTAGGATCAATTCCGGTAATTTCAACATTACACTCAGCAATACCATCAGAATTAATAGTACAATATTCATCAATTAAACTTTGATTAATAAAGGAATTACTGACAAACTTATTTTTGAAATTGTTTTTCATCTCATTCATGGAATAGACCTCAGATTCCTTTTCTTGTGATTTAAAAACTTTTTCAGCTTCGGCAAAATTACCCCCAAGAATTTTTTCACAAGAATGAGGAATTTGAGCTGAGATAATATAATTGAAATTCTTATGAGATTTTGCCCAAGTGTGGAGCACAGTTTGTTTCTTTAATCAAAAGATTTTTAACATCATCAATTTCAGCAGACAAGGATGAATTTGACAAACTGGTGATTCTAAGATTTTCCTGAGTGGACTCAATAATGCTATTTTTTATGGATATGTCAGTTTCAAGAAGATCAATTTGATTTTGCAA